AACCTCCACACCTTTCTCCCCTGCTTTAAAATGCTCCTTAAAACCTGATTGTGACAGGTCACAATCACATATTTTAATATTGTTTTATGCAACTTATTGTCAAACCTTTATCCATTTACATTCCTATAAAGCACCTAAGCATAATATTAATGACTTCAACGGCACTATATAAATACAAGATTGCTATTTTTTGTTTGTAATTAAACAATGTGCTGGTTGACTTAATGCAGGGGCTTAATGGCCTTGTGGATAGGGGACTTAGTCAAAATAAGACCCCTGCAACTATATTTAATAAGTTAACACATCTGTTTTATTATTGATACAGTGCCTAGACATTCTACGAGCACATATCTTCATGCTTTTTACTAAAATGTTTGTGCCGTAATGGATAGGGGCATTGTACATGTGGAGGGTATTGAAAGGGCTCATGAATGTTCTTGATGCAGACGGCCCCTAGAATTTTTAATCTGATCATTTCTATGTGGAAATTCTTTCATCTCTAGATCCCCTTCACCTTCGAGCAAAAATTTTAATTTTCTCTTTGTGTTAAAGATAAGTTAAAACAGCATGTGCTAGATATCGGATGAAGTAACCTTCAGCCAGTCAGCTATAAGCGCCCAGTCAGGAACTTGCTGCGTGTTACCATGTAGACAGCAGCCTGCATCAAGCATGTCTCCCACTGGCTCATTAATGCATAGAAATCAGAGCTCTGTGCCTCAGGCAGGCCCTGATAGAAAGAATAGTTAGGGCTTATCAGGCGACCGTGTACCGTCATCTGCAAAAACCATAGCTTTACAGGATTACCTCAGCTGTTTGTGCCTGCAGCAGCTGCTACCCATAGTTCACCAGACTGATCTCTGAGCTCACAGTAGCTGTCATTTAATTTGTTATTTGTAAGAGTTTTAGGAGGCCCCCAGAGGGGAAGACAGGACCTGATGTCCTCTTCCTAGGATACTATAGTCGAGGATATGTACCAGAACTTATATGTTTGAGTCAGTTAAAGCTATTTCTTCAGAATTATTCATTGAAATTACACCAAAAATACAATTTGTAACTGTTGAATTATTTCATTCCACATCAGGTGTCCAAACATGTATACTGAACTGTTATTTCCTTTCAGACATTTACACTGTCTTCCTAATGTCCCTCTAATTCCTTCTACAGAAGGATTTGGACAGGCTAGGAGAATGGGCGAAGAGTGCAGATGAAATATAATGTGGGAAAGTGTGAGGCTGTGGACTTTAATAGGAAGAATAGAGGTGTAGACTATTTTCTGAATGGGGAAAGACGTCAGAAATCTGAAACACAAAGGGAGTTAGGCATCCTAGTTCAGGATTCTCTTAAGGTTAACATGCAGGTTCAGCTGGCAGTTAGGAAGACAAATACAACGTTAACATTCATTTCAAGGGAGCTAGTGTACAAGAGCAAAGATGTACTACTGTGCCTGTTATAAAGCTCTGGTCAGACCTCACTTGGAAGACTGTGTTCAGTTTCGGGCCCCCTATCGCAGGATGTTGTGCTGCCTTGAGGGGGTCCAGAGGGGGTATATAAGAATAATTTCGGGGTTGAAGGGCTTGTCATATGTGGTGCAGTGGAAGACTTTGGGTCTGTATTCGATGGAGTTTAGAAGGATGAGCAGGGGATCTCATTGAAACTTACAGAATACTGTGAGGCCTGAATACAGTGGACGTGGAGAAGAGACTTCCATTAGTAAGAGAGACTAGGACCCAAGGGCACAGCCTCAGAATGAAATCATGTCACTCCAGAACTGAGATGAGGAAATTTCTTCAGTCAGAGAATGGTGAATCTGTGGAACTCATTGCCACAGAAGCCTGTGGGGTTGAGAAACATACCAGTCATAATCAAATGGTGGAGCAGACTCAATGGGCCAAATGGCCTAATTATGCTTCTGATTCTTATGGTTAATGATATAATTTCCCTCCTCTCATGGATGATTGGAAAGGTCTGATTTACATCTTCCCTTCGGTGGGGAGACAAACAAATAAAAAACCACGTCCCTCTCCTCTGCTTCTTAGCCCATTCCTGGTTATAACAGTGAAAGAATTGATCAATTAGGAAGCTGTTGCCTTGATCATTGAGGCACTCCAGCTGCTGGAAGAGCCAAACTTCAACACCAAGAGATGTGGCACTGAAATTTAAAAAGTATCTCCCAAATACTTGCAACTTACCATCCTTCTATATACTTAACACCTTCAGCACTCCATTCTAGGATTTTAGTTAAATCCAGAATTCCATTCCAAAGTAGTGCCCTCAACAGTCAGAATGTAACAATTCACACAAGCTCTGTTCACGGTGCCCAATCTGGAAAGGGAGCCTCACTCACCTCTCCCATCTGAGGCCTGAACAAGGCGAACTGCTGGGTTTCTCCCTTGCCCCTGAACTATTTTCCAATATCTCTCCTTACATAATAAGCAGGCACATCTATTAGTTTAAGAGCGACCAGTTTCAACCCTGGTCTGTGTTAAGTGAATTGATCATGTCAAGCTAAGTGAGCTAAAACTGGATTCAGTAATCCAAGGGTCATGGGATTCCGATTAATGTTCCAATATGGAGCCCCTAATACAGTAGCATGGCTGAATCTAAGCTCAACTGTATGGTTCTTAACGATTGTCATTCTCTGTCCAGGCTCAGCATTAAGTATGGCCGTACCGACAGATGGAAGGAGGGGTTAGTGAGGGCTACTAGAGCTATGTGTATGTCAGCACAGACAACATAATAAGACCAGAGGAAATAAAAAAGATAAAGTATATACACTATATATAAAATATCACTTATAACAATCTCAGAATGTACCAAAGTGCATTATTGTGAATGAAGTACATCTGAAGTGTAGCAATTGTTGGAATATAGGAAACGTGCCGAAAAATTGTACACAGCAAAGTTGAGAGATACATATTGGCCATCACACTGGGAAGAACATGTTGCTATTCTTTGAAAGAGTATCCTGGGATCCTGATTTAATGTCTGATGCAAGAGAAGGCACCTTTGACAATGCAAAATGCCCTCCATACTAAAATGGAGCATTGACTTGCATAGCATGTTCAGATCTCTGTAGTGGTATTTGAACGTATGAACTTTAGAAGTAGAAATAAAAGTTCTACTACCATATTGTCAGGGCTGACACCCTTGTACAATTACAATTTAAACAATTGGTACTGAAAATTTTAAAAAGAATTTCAGAACATACAGAAATAATGGGAAAATGTGATAAAAACTGAAATGATTAAACACTGGTAGGTATTTCCTGAATGCAGAGTGTCAATGAGAACTACCATCTTGAGTAAGGTGTTGCCCAATAGCGAATCTCAGGTTTAATATCATAGTGCAACACAACTAGCTTATTAATAGCTGTCTTTTGGGAATGATCTAAATGGCTTTTGTACTTGCAGCTTTTACATTGATTCCTTGACCATTTTGGAAAATATGGTTCTTTAGGATAAGCAGGGACTAGGCTCCTTACCCAACAGATTTACAGAGCAGGTGTAGAACAACATTAATCATAGGCCTTTTGTTAAGGCATTTCCTCACTGAAAACAAAATGAAGTACCCACTCCCTGTCGCATTAGAAGACCACCTGTTTCAATTGAGCACAGCAGCCAGTGACATTCAACCCTTGCAAGTTAACAGCTGAACAGCAGCCGACTGCTTTTTGACGGCTGTAAATGGTCTTTGGAGAGTGAACAAAGAATTTCTCAGAAGGAATTATTTACTAAGAACACAAACATTTCATCAGCGTCTGTTGTGTATTGTCAGGTCCCTGGGTGCCCATAACCACTACATTAACTGTACACAATTAACAAGGATGAATGTTCACTAAAATATGCCAGTATCAGGAAATGCAATACTAGGAAAACTGAAAAGTGATTTTTTCTAAATGAGAGAATGGAAAGTAAGGGCACAAAGGAAAGGGTAATTAAAGAAGATTTAAATTTATATGTTACTACTTCTCATGTTTAATGAGGACCCCCTGCTGTAATTATGCTTTTTCTAAACTTTTAAATGTTGCAAATCACTTTGTAGATGTCGCATATGAAGGTGAATTATAACATAGGAAAAGATATTTTACAGTGTCCTACTTGAGATGTTTCAAAGATGGTAAAATTAACAGATCATTTGTTACATCTCCCTGTACTGGATCTCGAAGAAAAGAGATGATCAGTTTAAAATTAAATAGCCTGCAGAGCAATTTTAAATCACATTTATGTAGCATTTTCAAATTCTTGGATGCCCCATAGCCCTTTGTCTGCAACAAACTGCTAATGAAAATATTTTCTGTAGGAAATATTTGACAGCAAATTTCGCTAATAACCAGATCCTATAAACAGCAAGGAGATGAAAGGTAAGATGACCTGTTTTTGTGTCATGTACTGGGGATGGAAATTGGCCAGGCCACCACGAGATTCTCATGCCCTTTTTTTGAAGAAATGCAACCAGTACATACAGGTTTTATGTCTCATCTAAATGATGGTATTTGTAACAATACATTGCTCCCTGAGTTTCACACTTAAATGTAATATAGAATATGCCACTCCAGGGCTGGGCTGGGTTATAAACCTACCACCTTCTGACTCAGGAATGAAAATGCTATTTGCTGAGTCAAGAATATAAGGTAGCAAAGTGCCAAAAAATTACAGGCTCCTTTGCAGCATCTACTCATTGCTTTTCTCATCAATTTAAGATTAGTAAGGACACAACTAATACAGAACACTTAAGTAATAAAAAGTGAGTCGATCAGCTGCTGGGCAACACCCAATGTATTTCCTTTCTTTCAAATTTTGTATTTATTTTCTTTTTACATCAGTTGTTTTGAGGATCCCAAACACAAAGACAGCTATTCCTCATTATTACTTCTGTTAATAAGCTGATGTGCACTTTGCATCAGTAAATGAAACTGAAGGAAGTTATATTGATGTGCTTATTTTTCCAGTTCTATTGTTACTGGGATTTTACATGAATTGCATCAACTGTTTGTTTTACAGAGGCAATTCAGGAAATTCCAAATGATAAAACCCTGTTCATTACCCTCAGGGAACAGCCTCTCTGACACCCATTTACATTGTCTGCCAGGACAAAGAGCTATCTTTAGTCCCATAGACTGAATGACAAGAACAATTCAGAATGGTTCAAATCAGGTCAGTCCAACATAGTATACTCACTCAAGAATCACTTACAAGCATGCACAGAAATATAAAACTTTTTATCATTATGCACAGAATTTTTCCAGAGATTCTGAAATTGCAACCTATATTTCTTTCTGTAATTACAGGACAACATTTTGCAAGCCAACTGAGTAAGAAATTGCAAGGACAAAACCTTCCTCCAAATACCAGCATTTTTTGTACACAAGTAAATTGTTAATTTTTTTAAAGTAAGATCCACGAACAAGAATAAGATCCATAAATTTAGGTCCTTGGGGTTAACGCATCCTTCAAATACTTATTCGGAATTCTAAAATTTTGGAGAATAAAGGGAGTCCTTATTGTATTACTCACATGAAAATATAATGACATTAATCCAAGTAAGAAGAATAATATCCTCAAACTTTAAAATAAAAAAATACAAAAACTGATCAGGCGTGGCGGTTAAGAAATTTAGCACAAGGATCACTGTACAAATAACTCGTACCCTTTCACTGCGATATAGGCAGTTTATCAAATTTGGGCATTCTGCTATTTTAAAACAATTACAACATGCAGCAGTGTTTTGTGTGCAGATAATGGACTACAGGTGATGTACAAATGCTTAATACTACTTAAAACCAGCTTGCAAGCAAGTTCGTTGAAGTTGGAAATAGAAGCTGGGAGTAATTTCAAACGTGAAAAAAAGACTTGCATTTATGTCAGAGATAGTAGGAACTGCAGATGCTGGAGAATCTGAGATAACAAGGTGTAGAGCTGGATGAACACAGCAGGCTAAGCAGCATCAGAGGAGCAGGAAAGCTGACGTTTCGGGCCTAGACCCTTCTTCAGAAATGGGGGAGGGGAAGGGGGTTCTGAAATAAATAGGGAGAGAGGGGGAGGCGGATAGAGGAGAAGATAGGTGGAGAGGAATCAGACAGGTCAAAGAGGCGGGGATGGAGCCAGTAAAGGTGAGTGTAGGTGGGGAGGTAGGGAGGAGATACATCAGTCCAGGGAGGACGGACAGGTCAAGGGGGCGGGATGAGGTTAGTAGGTAGATTCTCCTCTATCCATCCTCTATCTGCCTCCCCCGCTCTCCCTATTTATTTCAGAACCCCCTTCCCCTCCCCCATTACTGATGATGGGTCTAGGCCCGAAATGTCAGCCTTCCTGCTCCTATGATGCTGCTTGGCCTGCTGTGTTCATCCAGCTCTACACCTTGTTATCTCAGATTCCCAGCATCTGCAGTTCCTACTATCTCTGCTGCATTTATGTTGTGTCTTTCACAGGATGTCTGAAAACTCCTTACAATGAATGCGTTGAAATGTTGTCACTGTCGTAATATAGAATATGTGCAGTAAGCTTTCCCAAGAAGCTATGTGACTATGATGGGATAATCATTTTTGTGATGTTGATTGAGGGATAAATATTGACCAAGACAGGAGGGACAACTTACTCCTTCAAAATAATGCCATGGGATCTGATACTCACCTATGAGGGCAGATGGATCTTTACGTAACATCTGATACTACCAACAAAGCAGCACTTCTTCAGTGCTGCACTAGACTGTTTGGTTCAGGTCCTGAAATGAACAAGGGTGCCTGACTTATGAACGTCCGACTTGCGAGTGCTCTTAAGAACACTCGTACTTATGAATGCAATCCCATGCAGGGATATAATTTCAAAGACCTGACATACGAAAATTTCCCGCACCTACGACCTGTTTTATATTGTCCTGCATTATTTTCCAATTTGCATACAAATTGACTGGCGAAAGGACTCGGGAATGGAATCCATTCTCAATCCAGGAACAGCCTGTACTTTGAACCCATAATCTTATGACTCAAAAGCAATAGTGCTACTTAGTGAAACAAACACAGGAAGTGTTGGAGAAACTCAGCAGGTCTGGCAACATCTGTGGAGGCTGAAACAAAATTAATGTTTCAAGTTTCAACTCCTTTAAAAGAAGTCATGTCAGATCTTAAAATGTTAACTCTGTTTCTCTTTCCATAGATGCTTCCAGACCTGCTGACTTTGTCCAGCATTTTCTGTTTCGGATTTTCAGAATCCACTATTTTTGCTTTTATTTGAGTACTATTAACTAAGTCGAGACTGACTTAATCACCAATGGCTAACCACATTAGAAAGCGGGTATCATGGTTCTCAACACTGAGCTAGATGACTTGATGGAAGAGATGGAACAGAGAAGGTACGTCCTGAATCCTCAGAGTTTCAGAGCCCCTCCAAATTTATGCTGAAAAGACACTGGGAATAACTGAAGAGCAAATATCAGGTATATAGCTGCAAGGTCAGTGAATTTATCTTCCATATAACACTAACTGCACTATTTAATTCATTCATTTCTCAACTCACTATACCCCAATCACTCACCCTGCAACCTGGTCCAGCAATGGAGAAAGAGAAGGAAGACAGCTAAGATGAAGAGACACTGCTACTCAATCTCATAATTATAAGCACCAACACAGAAACTAATATTGTACATACTTTAGAGGGTAGTATAAAGGTGGGATCTGCTTATGATGAGATTCTAGGCATAGCAGTGTACACAGGAGCCAGGACTGGGGGAAAGGGCAGCACATGTGCCAACTCAACAGAAGGCAAAGTCACACACATCCTGTTCAGATGAGGATTCTGAATGGCCAGACTAGAGAAGTCTCTGAACACACCCAAGTACATGGTGTACTAGAAACTTTTTTTTTGCCGGAAAACATCGTAAAATTAATGCCAAAGACCATGGAAAAATCTAGCATGACCTTGACAAAGGCTTTGCAGAGGGCTTGGGATCCATTATTCCCATTGTGGATCGGCCAGTTATCTCCATTAACATTTGTGGAACCAACAATGATGCAATGTCTAATCGTCCACCCCTCAGTTTATGATGCATTGAATGTTCAGACTGCTGTCATGAAAGATCAGCTTACTGCCATCATGTCAGGCTGTAGATGTCACGGGTCACAATGGCGTTCCACAGGTTACTAGTATTACTGAGATGACCCCCAAAGGGGCAGTGGCTATATACAGCTTGAACCTATTTTCCTCGCTCATAATGACAACATTTACGTTCCTACACCTGCCACTTCTCCAGTGTCCTTGTAGCTGTTGACCAACTCTCCCAGACCACTGCACTCAACTTGAGATGGTGCAATCTTAAATCCTGTCCTTCCAGATCCAGTATTGCTTAAGGTTCAACTCCAAGGCCATCTGTAGTCTTCTCAAGTGAAGGGCAGCAACTTTCCACCAGCCAGACAGCAGCCACAGGTCAACCATCTTGTCGAAGCACACAGGTAGGTAAAGGTTTGTGGAAGAGATATATTTGTGATGTCTTTAATGTATGACATTAATTTTTAAATTTGGATTGGAATGTGTATTCTGTGTACTATTCTTGCATGTAGGTCTTACAATGTAGGAAAGAGGACAAAGTGATGGTTAATAATAGAGGAAAGGTGAGTGTGGGACTGTTTCAGAATCAGGTGACTAGCATCGCTCATGAATTACTTGTTTATCATCATTCATAGGATTTGGCATCACAGCTGATTTGGCTGAAATCGTTGGGAGGGAAATGCATAGGAGGTAGCTAATCAGATTGTAATTGTTTTATACTGTCATCTAAAATTAAAATTACCCTTGTACCGTGTTCAAAAAGGTTGATGATCTCTCAGTAGAGAAGAGTTTTAAATAAGATATAATCTGTACCCATCCACATTAGATTGCAGGTTCATCATCTGCATTTATTGAACACTTTCCTCAGGCTCCTGGAGTCCAGATAGCAGGAGTAGTGACAGACCCGATCTGTGAGCAGAATTGCAGCAAATTCTGCAATCAGGTTGCAGGAATGTTTTGGACGATGAATTCAAAAAGAATCGGAGTGTGCTGATTTTGGTCACCTTGAATCTAAACTGCATAACACTGTCAATGCAATGGAACCCATTCATCTAAAAAGAAAAGGAACATGCAACATGTAAACTGTCCATCACTGGATTGCCAGTTCTATTTTGGAGGAGTAAAAAGTGTTTCCTCAAAATATTCAAGTTTTCATGGCAAATGACAAAAATACAAATGGGGTTTGTGATGTGCCGAAACGGCATAACTACGAATGATTTACATTACAAAAATGTAAGTAAAAAAATGCACAAAAGCTTACAATTCACTGCATTTACCTGAAGTAGGTATTGTCGACATTATCCAATTTTCTATTAATGATACAATTTCTGCCATCCCCTCCCATTTCCCAAGCTGCGGATTCCTTAGTGTACTGGGTTAGTACAATATTAGAACTAAAATTCATTATCTTATTTCTAATTAGGCTTTATAGATCATAATTAAACAGAGCAAAGTGCAATGGATCATAAGAAAAAAGACTCAGGGATACCTCTCCTGTGTGGAAAGAACAGCAACCTTTTAATGCTGATGCAGCTGTTCACAAGTTCTTATGAAATGCATGTAGGATCTTTCCATTTCAAAAGGAAAATGAGATTCAAGCAGCTGAAACAATGAGCTAAAGCAATTATCCAATTTTACAATCTAAGTACCTAATAAGACTAGACAAAACAGCAGAAATTGGAAATAGGCAGGCTGTTTAGACGAGGGCTATACAAAGTAATTATTGAAATATATATTTTTCTTTTCCTTTCCCCATTTACCCAATCCTACTCTTTGTAATCCCGGGAATGGCAACTGATGCAGGCATAGACAGAGAAGCCTGAAACATCTGCCCATACAAATCCTTTCTGCACCATTTTGTGTGAAGATGGAGGGTGAAGGGTTGTATTTTGCCTGAAATGAATGTATGTGAAAACAACACGAAAAGCAATTTTCACAACCTCATAACATTCGAAAACACTTTGCAATCGATGAACTTCTTTTTCATCACATTCATCTGAATGAGTGGACTGCCTTATGATTTTGAATGAATAAATTTTATTGTCATGAGGAATAGATAAAATACAGTGAAAAGCTTTTTACACTGGTGCCGCAATCTGGCGCCATTTTAAATAGTTTTAAGAATAAGAAAAAAATACAGAAAGACATAACTTGAAGAGAGTCCATCAGCCCTGAGCCAACTCATCATCAACGAAGCCTGTGCACCATCCCTTCTCCACTGCCTCGCCGCCGTCTACACCAGATCAAACCGAAGTTGAAGTCACTACTCTTCAGGTGCATCTTTCACCGCTGGGTCAATTGTCCTCTGCCATTGCCTTGCCACCAGTGCCGGACCCAACCAACAATGAAGTCGCCGATCCTCATGCACCATCTTTCACCGTTGGGCCTACCTTGCCGACGTTGCCTCTATCGATGTAGCAGAAGCCATGTTCTGACGCCAGGTCCAGTGCTCGTCCCGGAAAAGTAAGTAAGGGCTCACTTGAGTCCACTCTGGGCCCTCGCCACCACCACGAGGTTCATACTAGGCCCATTCAAGTCCTCACTGGGCCCACCTGAGTCAGCACTGAGGTTCCTCGCTGCCACCGATGCAGTCTGAACTCAGGACAAGAGGTAGGTAATTAAAAAGAAAAATAAAGAAAGAAAAACGGTCGTAGCAGTTGAGCCATGGCTAAGGAGCCCTACTCTGCCGCTGTCTTGACGATGTTATTATGTTGATGTCTTATCCAAAAGACATTATGTCTGACAGAGTGGGAATAAATCTACTTTCTCTTTAACATCTCCCACTCCCCTCCAAAAAAAATCACGTAACCAACATTCCTATAACATAAGGCTGGGCTGCTCATACATGGTCATTTAAGAGGCAGAAGTAAGTTTCATTCATATTGTGTCTTCCACAATTTCAGAATGTCCTAAGAGGCTTTAAAAGTAAAGAAATACTTCTGAAGTGCAGTCACTCTTGTTGGAAACACGGTGAAGATAAGGTTGCTGTAGTCTTACCAGATAGCTGCTCTCTCATTAGAGAGGTGACTGGTGGTGGTTTAACATGAGGGTCAAAACAACTCAGGCAAGAAGAGAGTTGAAAAGGCGAAACCTTCGTAGAAACCTTAGCCACTGCGGCAATTGAACCAACGCTGTTAACATCTCTTGGCAATGTAAACCGGATGTCCAGCCAACTGAGCTACACCAACCCTTGAATGCATCAAGTTCCCACGTACAGCAATGTGAATAATGAGTAAAGATCGCTGCTGGGTCTACTGCTTTCCACCATTTATAAACGATTTGGATGGCAACATAGGAGACATGGTTGTTAAGTTTGAAGATGATAAGGGCCCATGGTGTTAGAGGCAAGGTGGATAGAAGATTGGCTGTCTGGCAGAAAGCAGAGAGTGGGGATAAAAGGGTCTTTCTCATGATGGCAGCCGGTGACAAGTGGTGTTCCGCAAGGGTCAGTGTTGGGACCACAACTTTTCACTTTATACATTAATGATCTAGATGAAAGAACTGTGGGCATTCTGGCTAAGTTTGCAGTCAATACAAAGATAGGTGGAGAGAGAGTAGTATTGAGGAGGTGGCGAGGCTGCAGAAGGACTTGGACAGGTTAGCACAGTGGGCAAAGAAGTGGCAGATGGAGTACAATGTGGGAAAGTGTGAGGTCATGCACTTTGGTAAGAAGAATAAAAGCATGGACTATTTTCTAAATGGGGAGAAAATTCAGAAGTCTGAAGTGCAAAGAGACTTGGGAGTTCTAGTGCAGGATTCTCTCTAGGTAAACTTGCAGGTTGAGTCAGTAGTCAGGAAGGCAAATGCAATGTTGGCATTTATTTTGACAGGACTTGAATATAAAAGCAGGAATGTACTACTGAGGCTTTATAAGGCTCTGGTCAGGCCACATTTGCAGTATTGTGTGCAGTTTTGGGCCCCATATCTCAGGAAGGATGTACGGCCCTGGAGCGGGTTCAGATGAGGTTCATGAGAATGATCCCAGGAGTGAAAAGCTTAACATATGAGGAACATTTGAGGACTCTGGGACTATACTCATTGGAGTTTAGAAGGATGAGGGGGGATCTAGTTGAAACTTACAGAATATTGAATGGTCTGGACAGAGTGGATGTTGGGAAGATGCTTCCATTGGTAGGAGAGACTAGGACCCGAGGGCACAGCCTTAGAGTATAGGGAACATCTTTTAGAACGGAGATAAGGAGAAACTTCTTCAGACTTAGAGTGGTGAATCTATGGAATTCACTGCCACAGAAGGCTGTTGAGGCCAGGTCATTGAGTACATTTCAGACTGAGATAGATAGGTTCTTGATAATCAAGGGGATCAAGGGTTACAGAGAGAAAGTGGGAGAATGGGGTTGAGGAACTTATCAGCCATGATTGAATGGCCTAATTTCTGCTCCTATGTCTTATGGTCTAATGGACACCAAAATAGGTGGTGTAGCGGACAGTGAAGGTTATCTCAGAGTACAAAGGGACCTTGATCAGATGGGTCAATGGGCCAAGAAGTGGCATATGGAGCTTAATTTAGATAAATGTGAGGAATTGCGTTTTGATAAGTCAAACCGGGGCAGGAAAGGGCAGGACTTATACAATTAATGGTAGGGCCCTTGGCAATGTTGCCAAACAAAGAGACTGAGATGTGCAGGTGCAGTGTTCCTTGAAAGTGGAGTCATAGATAGACAGAAAATTGAAGAAGGCATTTCCCAGGCTTGCCTTCAATGGTTAGAAAATTGAGTATCGGAGTTTGGACAATCTGTTGCAGGACATTGGTGAGGCAACGTATAGAATACTGTCTATAATTCTGGTCGCCCTTCTATAAGAAGGATGTTGTTAAACTTGAGAGGGTGCAGAAAAGATTCACAAGGACGTTGCTGGGGTGAACTAGAAGCAGATTTGAGTTATAAGGACATGCATTTTTCCCTGGAGCATTGGAGGCTTAGGAGTGACCTTAGAGAGGTTTATAAAATCCATAACAGGCATGGACAGGGTGAATAGCCAAGGTCTTGTTCCTAGGGTGGCAAGTCCAAAACAAGAGGGCATAGGTTTAAGGTGACAGGGGAAAGATTTAAAAGGACCTAAGGGGTAACATTTTCATGCAGAGGGTGGTGCTTATATGGAATAAGCTGCCAGGGGAAGTGGTGGAGGCGGGTACAATTAAAAGACATCTGGCTGGGTATTTGAATAGGAAGGGTTTAGAGGGACATGAGCCAAATGCTGGCAAATGGGACTAGGTCATATTGGAATGCCTGGTCGGTGCAGACAAGGTGGACCGAAGGGTCTGTTTGACTCTAAGACTAGATAATGATTTTTATATCTTGATTGTGGAGTAATTATTGGCCAAAACACAAGGGAGAATTCCTCTGCTCCTCTTGGAGACAAAGCCACAGGATCTTTTGGATATTTTTAATCAAACTGCCATACATGTCCTGTCACAACACTGGAACAGGTGGGACTTAAATCAGGCATTCTGATCCACAGATAGGGACACGAACACTGCACCACAAGAGCTCTACAACACAGACTTAATTTAACATCTCCTTCAAAGGAGTGTCTCTGAGCATGTGGCACCATCTCTGCATCACACTGAAGTGCCAACCTGGCTCCAGTCTGGAGTGGAACTCATTAGATCCATGGTTGACTATCATAATGCCCTGCTGTTTCGAAATGCTGCCATCTCCAAATGCAAGTGGAAGGAAAGCTACAGAATGTACCACAGCAACAGATGTATATTTCTGAATACAAGCACTAGAATCTGTATGTTATTACATTTTAATGCTTGCTCACAGTGCTTTTCCAACACAATCAACCTGCTACTAATATGCTGATATTTATCACTCACAGCATAAGTAGATGATTTTGCACTCATGGATCATGTTCCCAGTAAACAGTTCTCAATTTTGAAAACAAAGAGGAGAAGTCATGCTGCTAAGCTTGGGATTTAGCAAGGATGCGGCATATCAAACTGGAACTTAATTTGCTTAATTACATGGGTGTAAACACTCTCTTTCTTCTCCAGCTCAATTTTGAAAACCACACATTTAAGTACTTTGGTAAAGAGTGAGAGAATAGCCATGTACTCTTATTTTTAATTCCACATAAATTTATCAAAAATTTTTTGGCAAAAACGGGACGTGAGGTAGCTTTGGCAAATAGTGTTAAGGAGAATCCAAAGGGATTTGACAAATACATTAAGGACACAAGAGTAACAAGGGAGAGAATAGGGCTCCTTAAAGATCAGCAAGGCCGCCTATGCATGGAACCACAGGAGATGGGGGAGATACTAAACAAATATTTTGCATCAATATTTACTGTGGAAAAGGATATGGAAGACAGAGAACTTGGGGAAATAAATAGCAACATCTTGAAAAATGTCCATGTTACAGAGGTTGTGGTGCAGAATGTCTTAAAATGCATTAAGGTGGATAAATCCCCAGGACCTGATCAGGTGTACCCTAGAACTCTGTGGGAAGCAAGGGAAGTGATTGTGGGTTCCTTGCTGAGATATTTGTATCATCAATAGCCACAGGTGAGGTATTGGAAGTTGACTAATGTGGTGCCACTATTTCAGAAGGGTGAATGTACCAGTGAGTCTGACATCAGTGATGGGAAAGTTATTGGAGGGAATCCTGACGGACATGGATTTACGTGTATTTGGAAAGGCAAGGACCGATTGGGGTAGTCAACATGGCTTTCTGCGTGGGAAATCATGTCTCACTAGATTGATTGAGTTTTGTGAAGAAGTAATGAAGGGATTGATGAGGGCAGAGTGGTGAACATGATCTATATGGACTTCAGTGAGGCATTTGACAAGGTAGACTGGTTAGCAAGGTTATATCATGTGGAATTCAGAGAGAACTAGCCATTTGGATACAGAACTAGCTCTAATGTGGTGGTGGAGGATTGCTTTGCGGACTGGCGGCCTGTGACCAGCGGTTGCTGGGTCCACTGCTTTTCGTCACTTATATAAATGATTTGAATGTGAACATAGGAGGTATTGTTAATAAATTTGCAGATGACACCAAAGTTGGAGGTGTAATGGACAGTGAAGAAGGTTACCTCAGAGTACAACGGGACCTTGATCAGACAGGCCAATGGGCTGAGGAATGGCCGATGGAGTTTAATTTAGATAAATGTTGAGCTGCTGCATTTGGAAAGGCAAATCAGGGCAGGACTTATACACTTAATGGTAAGGTCCTGGGGAGTGTTGCTGAACAAAGACCTTGGAGTACAGGTTCATAGTTCCTTGAAAGTAGAGTCGCAGGCTGACAGGGTAGTGAAGAAGGCATTTGGTATGCTTGCCTTTATTGGTCAGTGCATTGAGTATAGGAGTTGGGAAGTCATGTTGTGGCTGTATAGGACATTAGTTAAGCCACTTTTGGAATACTGCATGTAATTCTAGTCTTCCTGCTATATGAGGGATGTTGTGAAACTTCAAAGGTTTCAGAAAAGGTTTACGAGGATGTTGCCAGGATTGGAAGGTTTGAGCTATAGGGAGAGACTGAATAGGCTGAGGCTACTTTCGCTGGAGCATCAGAGGCTGAGGGGTGACCTTATAGAGGTTTATAAAATCATGAGAGGCATGGATAGGGTGAATACCCAAGGTCTTTTCCCCAGGGTGAGACAGTCCAAAACTAGAGGCCATAGGCTTAAGGTAAGAGGGGAAAGATTTAGAAGGAATCCAAGGGGCAACTTTTTCACACAGAGGGTGGTGCGTGTGTGGAACGAGCTACCAGAGGAAGTGGCAGAGGCTGGTAAAATTACAACACTGAAAGGCATCTGGATGGGTTTATGTATAGGAAAGGTTTAAAGGGATACGGGCCAAATGCTGGCAAATGGGACTAGATTAATTTAGGATATTTGGTCGGCATGGACAAGTTGGACCAAACGGTCTGTTTCCATGCTTTACAACTCTATGACTCTCTGTGACTCTATTTGAACTTGTGAGGTTTAGAAACTCTACTGTGTGAAGTTCCAGTGTGTGTGTTATTCCATCCACTATTATAACTAAATTGCTCACTTGAGAGGGAGGGGCAAGACAGTGATAAAATTTTGATATCTCCAGCTTCAATTCTCTTTTTGTAAACAGTATCTTTATAAATTATGGAATATGTTTCTGCAAATGTGAAAATCTTCAATAATAACACAAATTTGTTTTGCCTATATTTAAGTATAGACAAAACTTCTCAGCAGCAGTCTTTATCTGGAGGTAGGTGCCAGCCTTGGTTCAGCAAGCAACACAGACAAAAACTGTAGTACCAGGTCTCGCCACTGAAACACAAGCAAATAATTCAAGCTGAAACTCCACTACACTACACACAATATTAAGGATGTGCTGCACTGTCAAAGATGCTACTTTTATGGATGAGATATTAAACCCTCTCTGGTACACGTAGGAGATCATATGGCACTATTTCAAAGAACAGCAGGAAGTTCTATCTAATGTCCAGGCCAATAATTATCCCTTGACCAACAGATTATCTAATCATTAATTATACTGCCATTTGCTTGACTTAGCTGTGCATAAATTAGCTGCCACATTTCCTGCTTTACAACTTCAGAAGTACTGAAGTAAATAAGGCAATTTAGGATATCCTGAGGTTGCTAAATAAAGACAGTTTTTTTTCCTTCACTAAACTACAAAACATTAGTCCATACTGCACACCATCAACAGGGCTTTTTTGGCTTCCTTTAGCATACTATTTCTGCACATAATGATATTGTGTTATATCTCATCCTGTGCTATCAATCGCTTTTTGCAAATTAAAATGGTAGCTCTTTTTCTTTGGAAGGAGGGGCCAGGAGAAGTGAAGGATTTAGTTTTTGTCAACCATTGCACAGTACCTACAACAACATCATTAAAGTGAAAAATAAAACTATATTCTAAATGTTGTCTTGCAATGATGGTTATGTTTAATACTTACACATTATGAGGGGGCACACTCTGTTTTAAAAATGATTTCCACGGTGTGAACACTCATCTTTCAAACATGAGCTAAATAATTGCCTGGTTTTATTTCCATCCAGGATAGATCTACACTGATCTGCCATTTAAGTTAAGATCAAAATCCTCTTGTATACCTTTAATTCGCCAGAGCATACTTTTTAGTTAAATTGAGCCATGTTTCAAAGAACAAATTGCTGACTGATTCATTAGACTTTGAATGATGGTAAGAAGTTGAAAATTGGAATTTACCAATTCTTTGTCTGATCTACAAGGGTAGCATCACATCAAATGGGTCATTTCATCTCAGAGTCAAAGGGTTGACAGTTGAATTTCCATTCCAGAAAAGTGAGCACTAAACTGTCGGAGGGAATTCTAGTGCAGTACTCATTCTCCACTCTTGAAAGTTAAGTAGTTTCGATTAATTCTGAAATCAAGGCACTCTTGGGTGCATAACATAGATTCCACAGTACTATTATGAAGAAGAGCAGGGAAATTCTATCTGATATCCTGGCCATATATTTATCTCTCAATCATCACTAAAACATAGTATCTGGTAATTATCAAATTATTGTATATAGGATCATGCTGTGTGTAAAAATCATTGCCATGTTTTCATGTTGCCATGATTATAATTCAAAAATACTTCACCAGGCCATGAAGCAATTTTGGATGTTCTATGGTAGGTGAAAATGCCAAAGCAACAAAAGCTGTTCTTTTTTTTCCCCTTCTGGTATTTCATTATCCAAATATACACAGAGACTGTGGGACATGGAATTCTTTGCCACAGAAAGCCTTTGAAAAAATGCAGGTTTGAAAGAGATTTAGATTGTTGTTCCAAATTAGCAGAGTCATCATATTAGTTACATGCGTCATGTGGAGATAGATATTAACATATTGCAATTTATGCTATGGTTAAAGCTATAAAAAGCTAACAGAAGATACTTACAACCTTATTCCACAAGAGTCCAGTAGTGTGGTACTCCTTGATGTAGGCCTGAAGCTCTGTCCAGATACTGAGAAATGATTTGACCCATTCTACATGTCTCTTGTCACTGCAGTTGAATAAAGAGTTAAGAGAATATGAACATCAATGTTGAGATTATTGCAGCACTTATTTCAGTTTACACACTAAAATTATTGAAACCATCCCAGATAAAGAGACTAACATTCAAATTTATGACATTAGAAGATATTTTAACAATATAATTATGTTAGATGTTCACTTTAATGGGGGAAAAATTGCTATATTTCTTCAGGATGGCCCTGATTCTCAGGTAATTATACTCAAGTACAATACTGACATTTCCATAAGGGACAGGAGAAATTTAGCAGAGAAAAATCAGCAAGGGATAAAAAGTTGGCAAGATAATCTGGATATATTGGTGCTTATGTATACACCAACGGAACAAACTTTTCCAACAAGATATTGCAGCATTTTTAAGAGATGGAGCATTTTTCTATAGAGTCCACATTATGAAATCTGGACCTCCATATAATGAAATCATAAACTTTCTACACCAGACAGCTGCCAAATGAAAAAGAGTGATAGTGGTGGGAGTGGGGATATTGATACATCTCCATTCTCAACAGCAAAGCATTTTGTCCATCAAAATGGCATTCCTCCCTAATAGAAGAAAGATGGTCAGTGGTCAGAAGAGGCAAAAAACGATTAAGTAGATCAAAATAAAGAAGAAAGAAAAGAACAGAAGAAAAATACAAGAGTTAGCTCAGCACTATGCTCAGAGGCCTGAAGAGGCTAGTTAAATGGATCATAGAGTTATTGTTATAATTATATGTAGTCATTGAGTTCATGGGTCTTGCCTCTTTGTTAAGATTCTATCTAACACAGGAAAAGATAGCAGATACTTCTGGAAAGCTAAAAAAAATTCTTCAATAGAAAGTATCCTTTGGACATTCTGGAATCTGACTGAGTAGCTATCCCATTCAGAAATCTTTCCTATATGTTCCACAATGAAACTACCATTGACCCAAAACCCAATAAAGAACCCTGGATAATTTGTGAACTGGATGAACATTTGGTGGGAAAGCTGTACAGTAAGGTCCAATTGAAAGTGAACTATTAATGTTATCATTGAAATCAATGTATTAAGGACAACCAACGTATATTAGATTTGATCACAATGCCAATCATCTTCTGAGCTGTTACTTTGAATTTTGAGAAAGTTGTTCCAATTTTTTTGTCATGATGAGAGAAAATATTCTGAAGTTTTAGGAATGACAAAATATTAAGACCAACAAGTTCAGCTCTCATTGCCCAGGAAATTATTTTGCAGTTTGGCACTGCTGTTCACAATTTATACAAAAATTAGATTTTGAATCAAAATTACAATTTCTAACTTTCTGGATGACTTCAAACTTTGAGGGGATTATCAAGGGCTTAACCTCAGAATAAGGGGTCTTTTTTTTAAGAACGAGAAGGAATATCTTCTCTTGGAGGGTAGTGCATTTGTGGAACCGTTCATAGAGAGGGCTGTAGAGTTGGGTCATTACATATATTCAAAGCTGAGATATATAGATTTTTAATCAGTAAGGGAATAAAGAGTTATGAGGAAAAGACAGGAAAGTGAAGCTGAGAATGATCAGATCAGCCATGATCTCACTGAATGGTGGAGCACACTCAAGGGGCTGAATGGTCTGCGTCTGCTCTTATGTCTTCTGGACTTAATGAAGCCTATAATTATTACCTTTTACCACTGGGACTCAGAACTGATTTACTAATGTATGTTATTCATTGGAAACCTTAAGCTTTCCTCCTTAAACATATCATGGGATCAAAGGTTTGCAGTTCACGATTTTCCATTCTCTGACAGGATGGAATGTTGTTTTTTTCTTGCCTATATGAAGGGTCAAATTTAGCAAAGTTTGGAAAAGTTCAGTCTAGCCTCTGAAGCCCATAACTGTTGCTGGATGCAGGTTGGGGAGGGAGGTTATATATGTTTTTGAGGCTCTGTATCTACATTCACCTGATGCACCAGACATACTGAAAAGAAACTGGTGGGATTAAACACCTCATCTAACAGCCAGCCATGATGTGACTTACTATAAACCTCATTCTTTCTTTGTGCCTATTGGGATCTTCAACGTGAGAGAAGAATAAGATGAGACCAGAAAAGTCTGATGTTTGGATGACTTTCTGTTGAAGGATCTCTACTGGAAGGGAAATGATGGGGAAACTCAAGAGCTTCCAACCATTGCTACTAAAAACAATCCACTCCTTGCATTGTTGCCAGCTTCTCAAGCTAGCTATTTGAAATTTGCATGGAAATTTCCCCTAATGTTCCCATGTTTTAATCCTTCTACCTTGCTGATTTTATTTCATACATGGATGTGGCTACAATTCTGCTTTTCATTCAGGAACTACTGGTTAGGCAGACTTCAATCTTGTCTAAATTCAACATCCACACATACATACAAGGCTACATGCACACTTGAAACTTTTTCCTATCTCCATGCTCCTTCGCCAAGTCCAAAGATACGAAGATGAGACACCAAGGGGAAAATTTAATACAAACAAAGGGGTCTCCGCCAGCTCTGGAGTCAGTGAGACTCACATATTACTTCTATGGGGAAAGGCCTGCAATATTGATTATGCACTTAAGTGGTTAGTGGCACATATTCCCTGGTATCAAGGCATCCCACACTGAGGGCTACCAGACAATCAGAGGTACATAGTTCTACATTGCAGAACATATCATCAGCTGCTAACAAAACACTCAACAGAGGCTTAGAATTGTCAAATGACTCAGACAACAGGTGAGTGAGGGCAAGATTGGGGTAAAAAGAAGACCACTGGTTTTAAGCATAAGTAGACGGTATCACAAGATTGGTCTCTTAACAACCTCCCCCCATATCTTGTTACCAGGTCCCTAAATACCTGACTACAAGAGTGGCTGCTGAACATGTTTATTTACACAAGGTAGAGTGATATTGAGTGGTTCTAATTTTGGCTATTCACACTTTAACAGGGTCATAGTCACAGCACATGTTTGTTACTATTCTGTTCATTTATCTGTATGCAGAGTGCGTATAGGGTAAATAAGCACAAAAAATCTGGGAGTTGGCAAGGAGGATATGAGGGGTTATTGAGAATGGGGGGTGAGTCACAAGGATAAGACTTTTAGAAGTTACTGCTGCAAGGTTTCCACATTCGGACTACAGTTCACAGCCACTCTGAGGGGCAACAAACTATGTATCCTTGGACAACTTCTCAAAGATTGCTTTTTAGCAGGGGGTGGGCAAGAGAAAGGAGGAAAAGGAGGAGGAGGAAGAGGAAGTAGGAGATGCTGACTTCCCACAATGCAGCCAACAAGATTGGGAACTCAGGCTTCTTTCTTCCATGCTAATAAGAAGTGGGGGCATCAGGAATCCTAGAATTAGGTCCTGTCAACTATTTTTAAAAGTCTGCAGGGTCTCCCAGACTTTGTAAAAATCCAGCTTCAAATCTGATACTTTCTCGAATGACGTAGCTCAGCACTGCGCCATCTGGTGTGCTAATATATTGAACAGTCAAAGCAGCCTTTGATTTGTACAGGCTACAAAACACACAAACACACACACACACACACACACACACACAGCTGACTGCAAATGAAGAAAGTGACTAAAGAATAAAAAGTCTTTCTCAAATTACTGTAATTAGGAACCAAGACAGTTTCTACTGGATGGCTGTCATTGCTTAGCCAATTGCACCTGTTGTGTGGAGTGTGCATGAGGGGGTGGTGGATCATGCCCTGAAAGGCCCTGTTCAGAAAGTTTCAGACAGCCGAATCTTGAAATGCATGTCATATGGCACACAGTGCAGCATGATGTACAGCATTTCCTTTGTCAAAAATACAAATGAAAACTGTAATCCACACTCACGGCTGCATGCATAAAAAAATTCAAAACAAAAGGCCCTTTTGTCTCAATGGCTTTGGTCCATAATGAATGGCATTTGGCCATAAGGAGAATTATGAGTCCATCGGCCAATTTAACAGCTCATGGAATCTGAAACTTATCAAGGAATATTAAAAAGACACTCGCCAACAAAATGCTACTGTGTTTCTAGGGATACACTGGTAATCTAACCTCTAATTAATCTATCCAGGAATAAAGTGGCATAAACATCATTTATATGAAGAACAAAAAATATCAGGAAACATTCCACTGGTTATGTTGAATCCATAAAGGCAGAACGACATGGTTAACATCTCAGATTGATGACCATTTGTGATGAAAGATCATTGAATTTCTCTCGTTACTAATGATGCCAGACTTGCTGAGTGTTTCCAACATTTTCTGTTTTTATTTCAGACCAGCAGCATGTATTGAATTTTCATTTAGGCTAACTTAATGATAGCCTTTGACCAACTACACTAAAAAGGGAAAGGCCAGCACCGCCTGATGAGAAATTTATATCCTCACTGAAATCCTAATTAGCAATGCACTGCCTTGACATTTCACTTTTCCTTTAAATGGTGATTCTTGCTTTCGGTGGAGATGAAGAGGAAATTCCCATTATTGGCTGAAAAGAAAGAGGCAGTCAACTACAAGTAGTGTTCAGGCTGCAGAAGTTTGTGTGGACGGCTGAGAAGTGGGAAGATGGTTGGAACTACAAAAGCCAACATATTAATCTCCAAATAAATATCACTGTTATGCTTACAGCTTTCTAACTGATTACAACCTTGCAAAGATGTAACATTGAATAAGTTATTACTAAAATCCTTTCATTTGTTTTCAAAGCAATTGTGGTGCTATTCTCTGAATTTTTTGCCAATTATTTTTGTACTCCATAGAATCCACAGGCAACAGATTTAAACAAAACATATCATGGCTTGGAGAACAAGAAAGGTAAACTTACGTATCCTTATACTCCTTTAACACCCTGTTAGTATAGAAGGTGGCCGCATCATTCATCTCCTTAACGTAGGGACCTGGCTTAGGGGCCTGAATTCACAATAAAACATCAGGAGAAAGATACATAGAAAAGAGAAATTTGGAAAAACAAAGGACACATTAGATTCAACAGAAAACTGTTTATTAATTTGTTAGCCAGTTAACAACCAGTAAGGCTGATGCCTCTTAATGTCTTGATCTTTTCAAAGAATGGAAGGGCCATTTAGTCCATCGTACCTGTGGTAATTTTTTGAAACAGTTATTCAATTCACCCCACTCCCCTACTCTCTTCCAACATCATTTCATCCAAACATGTTTTGTTTAAAAACATGAGCAGTGAGCTACTTCAGTAGTAATGTAACCACCAAAAAAGAGATCACATTAAATTTTCGAAATTAGCTAATTTAGTAGATGATTTAACTAATAACTAGGTAATAGCATAACAGTCACTCTTAAAATATTATTTTGATATGTTCAAAGCGGAATATCTGACCATTTTAGAGTGTCATTACTAAATGGTATATCAGAACACCAGGCAATGTGAACATAGTGGAAATCTCTGTTCTTGCAGATAAATGTTTATCATATGCTAACACCATCACAGAGTTTCTAAACAGACCCCTAAAGACCTCTATTTTGATATCTTGTTTATCTTTATTTCTTTCCCACATCTAGTGACACAAGGCAGACAAAGCATGTGCTTATCTCTGTTTCCAGGACTGGCTTCTCCTGGAATAGGTTGCCAGCTTTTTACCAGAGGTGACGGCTTGAGGGCAACACTCCACATCACATATGGCTGAACTAAAAATTGTTCCATTCTTACCGCTTACCCTGGCACGTTGGAGGGATTTACAAGTTGAAAATTAATCTGTTTTGGCTGTGTTATGAATGCATCTTCTATGGACCGTCTGAGGCGCAATGTGATCCTGGCCATTTGTGGCTCAGAGACAGAAATGCTATCCTCTGCGTCACAAGAACTCTACCACTTCTAATAAACAAGACACTGTAGCTCCATGTTTTAAAACTCATGTGGTATTATTGGTTATAAGATCATCGATTGCTCAATCTTTGATTATTACACTTATTTTATGAGACAGCATGGTGTTCCATTCTCTGAAAACTGCATACCCAGGATACTCCATATCCCTCAAATTCCATTGCTGCCATTCACATCAGGCTCATATCAATGACAACTGTTTTCTTTGATAGCAGTTTCCTAATGCCAATTATCTACATTGTCCATCCCAAATGGATCCTTACATCATCCCAGAACAGCTTAGCTCAATTTAGACTTTCTTCTGTTTCTACACTGTGTTCATAATGCCATAGGTGGACAGTAGAGCATTAAGAGGTGGACACATTTCTTTTCACCAATAAAATATGAGTTCCATTTCAATCTAGAGTGACAGCGCAATGATGTTTTCTGTTGCACCACCATAAGGCTCTTTCACAAAGTGACTTTCAGAAACATTAGGCAAATCTTTTGAATAACTGGGAGAAAACACATCCCCAGCCTTGATAACTCCCTTCAACCATTTAATGCTCATTGTAACATTAAGCAACTCATACAAATATCCATATTCTGGGGTGCAAGACCCACCCCAGGGAGGTACTGGTTAATTTAGTTAGGGATGGTGGTCACAGCTGGGATCACACCAAGCCCCACAGATTAAAATGCTGGGAGCTCAGGATGCAGGTAGTTCTGTGGGGGCCTCTCCACAAGAAGACATGGTGCAAGGGCTGAGAGCTGAGGGTTGTAGTGGGCTCTGAGTGGGTGGTGACGGTAGGTTTGCGACGGGCAGGGAGGGAGGGAGCACTTGGGGTGGTGGGTGAGGGGCAAGACAGACACACGCAGCAGCAGGAAAAATTAGAAGGAACATGGGGTGAAGGGTGCCCCAATTGGGAATGAGGGGCTAAGAGGGAGGCAGCCTCTACATGGAAGCCACCTCCCTTTATCATGGCGAATCATGGTAATAAACAATCCATTCCAAATATCAGACTAACAATATTCAAACAGCCAAACCGGCAAGTAAGAATTCTGAATGAAAATAAGATGAAGCTGAATGACCCTTGATGGTTAGTTTGTAAAATTGGAACATGTGGCTATAGTAATGAAAATATGGAACTTTCTCTCCCAAAACCTAAGTGAAATTTCAAAACTTGTTGATAGATTTTCATTACGCAGGTTCATTAAGGCATATGGAAATGAAGTTGGCAAATGGAATAGAAACATTATTTAAGGTTATGGGGAAAGGCAGAAGAATGGTACTGAATCAAAATGATCAATCGAGAAGTCAATGCAGGCATGATAAGCCAAATGGTCTCCTTCTGCGCTGTAAACAATTCTGTGATGGAGTTTAAATGCAGGTTACCCATTATGTAACTGAATGCTAACACAGGATTAAGAAACTGAATGGTCTACTCGTGTTCTTATATTCCCAGAACAGATGTTTGGACTATGTTTGCAATAAAATCAGTTCTTGTGCACTAGTTTTAAGTTTGCAATATGATCTCTGGGTTGAGGGAAGGTGTGGACAACCTGAGTTTTGCCACTGTGGTGTAGGAAGTGACTGAGATTTAATTGTCTATTTTAAAACACTCATAGGGATACTGAATACATTTATTTTATTTTAAAAATGCCATGCAAAACTGAACACAGGCTGATCATGCACAGACAAAACACAGGTGGACTAGGGAGGGAAGCAGGTACTAACAAACAGGAAAAAAAGGTCACTGTCTACCATGCTGGAGTTGGGATTCCTTGAAAAGTGCACTCTCATACTGCTGAATTCATTCAATAAGAAATCTTTCCACTTACCACTGCAACCCATCCCAGTGCTGCGATGCTCTCGCTGACAGCTGACAAGTGGTTAAACATCTTACTGCCACGGTTCTTCTCTCGAAAGTTCTGGATTTCCTGAATTCTGTCTGATATGGGTTTGAGAAGTGCATTCATCTCATTCTGGGAGAGTAAACAAGGTGAAATGTTCAGGGGAAAATGTGAACAAAATGTAAGCTACACTGAGGCTGATTTAATATTTGTCTGACCTGCATTTTACAACTGCCTGTGTCTTTTATAAATCTTTGTATGGATATATTCCATATACACTAATAAAGAATTTCCAGTTCATGTTCAGGCAGTTTAAGTTTTGAGCATTTTGGAGAAAAGAATTTTAGAATGCAGCAGTTTAAATTGTTATGACTCCCAGTGCATGGGGTTGAAGGGCAGTAAGATGGTTCAGTTAAAAAAAAGTCTACATCTGTATATTCTAACAGTTGAATCTTAATTTATTTTATGCAAAAAATGACCAACTCAAAAACTTAACAAAACAATGGCATTTGCAGTGCTCAAATTAACAAAGAATTCAAACGAAGCAACTTTGATTTGAATGGGAATGGTCTGTCCTTTATAAAACTAATATAGAAAAGTACCTGGGATTGTTAGCTTTTATTCTTTTTCACTTAAAACACATTCTTCTTCTTTACAGTATAAGAACGTGCGAAACAAAAATGGTGGATGTATAATTGACAAAGTACAGAAAATTCAAGGCAAGCTAGCTAATTGGATATAAAATTGGCTTGAAGGTAGGAGACAGAGTGGTGGCACAGGGTTGCTTTTTAGACTGGAGGCACAAGGATCAGTGCTGGATTCACTGCTGTTCCTCATTTATGTAAATGATCTGGATGTGAACATAGGAGGCATGGTTAGTAAGTTTGCAGATGACACCAAAATAGATGGTGTAGTCTACAGTGAAGATGATTATCTCAGAATACAAAGGGACCTTGATCAGAGGGGCCAATGTGCCGAAGAGTGGCAAATAGAGTTTAATTTAGATAAATGTGAGGTGTTGAATTTTGCCAAACCAGGACAGGACTTACACAGTTAATGGTAGAGTCCCTCTGGACAGTGTTGCCAAACAAAGAGACCTTGAAATGCAGGTGTATTGTTCCTTGAAAGTGGAGTCACAGGTAAACAAGGTGGTAAAGAAGGCATTTGGAACGCTTGCCTTCATTGGTCAGAACATTGAGTATAGCAGTTGGGATGTCATGTTGTGGCTATACAGGACATTGGTGCAGCCGCTTTTAGAATACTAAGTACAATTCTGGTTGCCTTTCTCTAGGAAGGATGTTGTTAAACTTGAGAGGGTGCAGAAAAGATTTACAAGGATGTTGCTGGGACCTAAGGGTTTGAGATATAGGGAGAGGCTGAATAGGCTGGGGAGTTTTCCTCAGAGCATTGGACACTGAGGGGTGACCTTACAGAGGTTTATAAAATCATGAGGGGCATGGATAGGCTGAATAGCCAAGGTCTTTTTCCTAAGGTGTGGGATTCCAAAACTAGAGGGCATAGGTTTAAGGTGAGAGGGAAAAGATTTAAAAAGGACCTGAAGGATAATTTTTTCACATAGAGGGAGGTGCATGTATGGAATGAGTTGCCATAAGAAGTGGCAGAAGCAGGTATAATTACAAAATTTAAAAGGCATTTAGATGGGTATTTGAATAGAAGGCATTTAGAGGGATATGGACCAAATGTTGGCAAATGGGACTATGTCAGATTGGGATGTCTGTTTGAAATGGACAAGATGGACCGAAGGGTCTGTTTCTGTGCCGTATCTCTCTTTGACTCATTTTCTGTAAGAATTTTTAAGAAGTCAATACTTAACATTTTTGCTAGTACTAAACATTGAGATGGATGTATGTTTTAATCAGTTTAGTAACTACTCATTGATGAGAAAAAGTCCTTCAGATATTTCAATCTAGTGTCACTTTTCACATTTCTCCATTAGGAGGCAAACACTGCAATTAAAGTAATGAGCTATTTGGCCCCAAACCTTGCTACAAAAGTGAATGAGTGGTCAGGAAAGCCTTGGCACAGCCCGACACTCAAGTCAGGTTTAATAAATACTTAATATTTTCTGCAAATAGTTGATGCTGTTATATTTTGAATTTCTTGCGCAAAAAACGAATAGTGCCATTAGAAAATATTTTCCTCAAAAGGTTATTGAGGTTATTGACTCCTCTACTAAGGGAAAACATTTCTCCCCTCTATCCTGTGAATCCCCGCACATCTCTGTACAGCTCAATCAGATCGCCCCCACCGAGCCCGATCTTCTCTAAGGAAAACAACCTTAGCCTCTCTAGTGTTTCTTCAGAGCTGAATTACTCCAGCCCAGTCAACAATGGATAAATCTCCTCTGCAACCTCTCTAGCACAAAAATATCCTTCCTATAGTGTGGCGACAAGAACTGCACACAACTGCTGACTAACATCATATGCAGCTCCAGCAAAACCTCCTTGCTCATGTATTCAATGCATTGACTAACAAAGGCAAGTATCCCAAATACTTTCTTAACCACCTTATCTACCTGCCCTGCTGCCTTTAAGAATCTACGGACATGCACACCAAGGTCCCTCTGATCTTCTGTTCTTCCTAGGATCCTACCATTCAACATATACTCCCTTGCATTGTTACTCCTACCAAAATGCATCACCTTTGACTTTTCAGGATTAAATCCATTTGCCACTGTTCATCCCATCCGATCAGGCTGTCTATATCATCCTGTAGTCTAAGGCTTCTCCCTTGCTATTTACCACACTACAAATTTGCACATCATCTATGCACTCACTGATCATTTCACCTACATTCATGACCAGATCATCAATGTAACAAGAAACAGCAAGGGTCCCAGTACTGAACCATGTGTTACACCACTGGACAGACTTCCAGTCACAAAAAAACTTTTTAACCATTACCCTATTCTTTCTGGCACTAAATCAATTCCTGCCACTTTGGATCCAATTTGCCAATTTGCCCTGGGTCCCAAGGGGGCTAAGCTTCTTAACCAGTCTGCCATGCGAGACCTTATCAAAAATCTTACTGAAACCATATAGACTACATCAATTGCACTACCCTCATCTACACTACCTTCATCTACACATCCAATTAACCCACTGATCTCCCCTTTATGAAACCATGCTGACCATCCTCGATTAATCCTTGCCTCTCCAAGTGGAGATTCATTCTGTCTATCAGATTTTTTTCCAATAGTTTCTCTACCAGCTTGCTAAAATTGCTAATATCTCCACCCTCTCAATGCTAATTTATTCAAGTAGATCACAGTCCCCTTCCCTGATTTCTGGTCCCACATTATCCTTCTCTATTGTGAATACAGATGCAAAGTATTCATTTAAAACCTCAGCTGTGTCTTTCGACATCACACACAGATTTCCACTTTCGTCCCTAATGGGTCCTACTTGTTCAGTGGTTATTCTCTTGCCCCAACATACTTATAAAGCAGTATTGAGTTTTCCTTGAGTCTACCCTCCAGTGTTATTTTATGTCCCCTCTTTGCTCTCCTAATGTTTTTTTCCCAGGTAACCCCCTGCACTTCCTTTACTCCTCTAGGGCATCCACTGTATTGGGCCTTCAATATTTGCCATAAACTTCCTTCTTTTTCCATATCCAATCCATTACATTCCTTGACATTCAGAAGTCTCTAGACTTGTTGGTCCCTTCATTCACGTCTATGGAAACATGTTAGCCCTGCACTCTTACTATTACCCTTTTGATGTTTTGTACTGCTCTGGTGTGAATTTTCCTGCAAGTAGCTGGTAGCAGTGCACTTTAGCCAGATCCTGTCTTGCCTTATTGAAATCAGCCTTCTCCAAATTCCGAACCTTTATTTCCGGTCCATCTTTGTTCATAATCATAGTTAATTTATTTTTACATTTTAAAAGTAACTTTTAAAAAATGCATCACGAAACAGATAACACAGGTATAAAGCTAAAGACGGAAAGAGTGGTTGTACAAAAAAGGAAGATAAAAGCATATGCAGTTTAAAAGTTCTTAATATTATGGACCAGAACAAAGCCCCTCAAAATAGATCAAGGAGATAGCCTAGACCCTAACTTTCATCCTATTTAAAGGCAAGCGTAAGGTGCTGTGTTCCAGATGTGATTCGATTGGTCCCTTATCAGGTTATAACAAAACACACTTTATTCTCACAACACAGTTAAAATACAAACAAAAAATGAATTGGCACGACTTTAACTCTATCAAAATACTTAACAAAAATTATTTTAATGACTAATCATCAACTGTTCCAATATAGCAATATCTCAAACACACCCTTGATAAAGGCAATTTCAGCAAAACTGACTTTTCTCACGCGCTATCCCCAGTCCAAGAGAAAGGAACAATGAAAGAAATAATCCAGCAGCAGAGTTTTTGAGTCTGAATTTTTGAATTGAACTAATGACATATGGGCTTTCAGTGTGTCTGCAGGGGTTTAATGATTAACTTTGTAACTATATTTTAAGCCCTGGTGATGTCTTTTAATAAACAGTCTGAGAGAGCTGGTTATTGGAAGCTAATGGGAATTTGTTTACATTGGAGAGTTTGCAGGTGAACAAAATAAGCAGTTTTGTGCATTCAGCTTATAGATAGATGAGTCTGAAGCATTTTTTTTTCTTTTGATTTGGAGAACAGCCATAGCTCAAAAAATGTTTTTTTTTGTTTTCATTTTAGGCATATCTGCAGAAGTCTTAGCTGAAGCTAGATGTGTAAAGCAGTTGCTCCTGTGAAAGAGTGTTAGTTAAATTTGTTAAAGTGTTCCTCAGTGTAAGGAATTTAGTAAAAGTTTCCAACCAGAAGTTTTTAGTTAAAATCTTGTAGGATCATTTGAAGCTGAGAAAATTTAAGATCACTTGCACAAAGGCTCTAGGAAGATGCTCTCAGATATCAAGACTGAGAGTTGAAGCCACAGTTAAATAAAGCCCTACAGGGGTGATAGAGAAATGAATTCTCTCTAATGGGAATACCTTAAAGGAGTGCTTTGAACGTTAAAGAGATTAGGTTTTACTGTGTATTTCCACAACTTTAAATTTACTATATGTAAATAGTTTGAATTACATTCATTTCATTTGTATAATAAACTTTGGTATTATTTTTAAACCAAATCT